TGTCCTCCCCCCCCCCCAATCATCCTCACCCTCCTCTCTGGTTGACCCCCCTCACCTTCTGGTCCCCTCAATCTCCTTGCCTCAGTTCCTTGCCATGGGGGTTCTTACTCTGAATCTCCCTTCTCCTCTGGTACCTGTGCCAGGAACCTAATTAAGCTTTCCCGCCCTGACCTTTCCCAGGCCCCTGTGCTCCCGGAATCTTCCAGGCTAGTGCCTGGAAGAGAGCATTGCCTAGCCTGGAGTTTGCACCCTATTTCTAGCTTTACCCTAGAAGAGCTCGACACGGGGCCTTTGAGCTTTTTGTTGCCTCTTTAGCTGGCACCTGTGTTCAAAGCCTCACCCAGGAGGCTTCCTACTGGGAATTTATTCTCTCAACCCAGGGACACGGATGAGGGGAAGACAGGGTTTTGAGGAAGAGCCAGGAGTAAGTTTTGTTGGGACCAGTGGGGGTATCCCCCAGAACCCTTGTCTGACTGTATAGCCTGCCAGAGGATGAGGATGGGAGCAAGGCTGTGCCCTCCCAAGGCCCAAGATTATGCCAGAAGGAGGGACTGTACAGGAGAGCCACAGCCAATGGTTTGGGGGTATGAGTCCGCCGGGGCCTCAGAAAACGGGGCTCTTTGGGTTACAGTGTCCTCAGCCTCCTTTGAGATCCCCTGTCGTGGATGAAGGCTAATGACTGGGTGGGTGGGAGACCGGGAGACCCAGCTATCCTTTCTGTCCTGTTTGCAGCACTGGTTTTGTTTCCTGAATAAATTTTTAGTTATGAAACATACCTGACCTCTTGCTGATCTGCCTCATCTCTGGGACTGGGGAGGGAGGAAGGTCCACGGCTCTGCACCTATGTAAGGGCCCGTCTAGCCCCTCCGCCCACCCTAGTGCTGGCACCCAGGTCCTAGTGCAGGGCAGAAGAGAGCTGCAGGGTCCGGGGTCCTTGATTACTGCTTTATTGCTGTTTGGTTCGAGTATAGAAAATGGAAGCGGCTCTGGAAGAGCCTGTGTACAAGGTAGAAAATATACAAAAGAGGAGGAGGGAGCTAAAGAGACCACGTTCCAGCCCAGCCCAGCCTGGGCTCGGGGTATAGGGCTGCCCGGGGCGCATGCAATAAATATGGTCCGGGGCCTCAGGGAAGGGAGGAGGGGACACCGCAGGAGTGGGAGACCGGGTAGACCAGAGCTGTCAGCCCTCTGACTTCAGAGGGAGGGAAGGGTGGGCCCTGGGGCTAGTGCCGCTTGTGCAAAATGAGGAACTTCACATTATCAGTCCCGGGGAGGGCGGGAGCGGGGGGCAGGGGGCCCTCCGGCCGGCTCAGTCCCCTCCCAGCTCCCCAACCCTGCCCGACGCTCCGACCCCAGCGGGGAGATTCACAGTGAGAATGGGTGTGGTCGCAAGGGCCGGAGGTAGGGCTGGGAGCGCCCCAACAGTGACACCCCTACCCCCAAGAGCAGCACGGAGCCGGGGGAGGGGGCCAACGAACCACAGGAAAAGGCGGAGAAGGGCCGGGGGGTCTCCTTTGGTCAAAGCTGATATCAAAAATATAAATCTCCCTTCCCCCAACCCACCCCCATCCCGGGGTTTTCCCCTCACCCCCATCCCCGGGCTAAGGCACAAAGCAGTGAGGCCAGGTGAGGCCGCAGAGAGGTGGGGCCGCCGCCACTGCGGTGACGCTGACGCTGCTACTATAGTTGTCCAGGTGCGGTCTGCCTGCTGGTTGCCGCCGCCGCTCCCTGGGGGCGCGGGCTGGGGGCCACGCGGCGGCGACGAGGCGGGACGGCCAGGGGCGCTCTAAGTGGGGGAGAAACGGTCGATGGTCCGGCCGTCAGGCCCGGCAGCCAGGTGCGCTCCCTGGCTCAGCACCTCGGCCGCTTTGTCCGGGCTGAGGCCCAGCTCCGCCGTGAATTTAGCCAGCGGGTAGAGGCTCTCGAGCGCCACCTTGGGGTCGTGCAGGAAGTGCGTGGTCTGCGCCAGCAGCTCGGCTGCGGCCGCCTTGTCCTGCTGCTTCAGGTTTAGCTGTTCAGCCGTGAGGCGGGCCACGGCAAAGACGCCCTCCGGGAAGTCGAGCTTGCCTTTGCCGTCGGGGCCGGGGACGCCGGGCAGCGCCC